AGGGTCACCGGACCCGAAACGTTAACTCTGTTTTCTCCTCCACAGATGCTGCCAGACCTGCTGAGCTTTTCCAGCAACCTTGTTTTTGTTCCATTACCTAAATCATTTCTGAAATTGGGGTTACTATTTTGCCATATCGCTCGGTCACCCCATCTCCCGTAACTCTGCCTCCCACTGCTCTATCCCCATCTCCTATCTGTCTGCGTTCACCTTTTTCCCACTCGATCTCCAACTCCTGTCGGTCTGCCTCCTTCTTCTGTTTCCCATTCCTCTCTTCCTTTCTCCTGTTGCCCTGCCTCCATCTCACTCCACTCGCTTGCCTCTTCAGAGATGCTCAGACCATACGCTCTTCCCCCGTCCAAGGCACTTTCTGCTATTAATCTCATCTTCAGTAGATCGCATCGCTGATTCAGCCAAACTGCTCGAACAGCGGCTGAAATCGACCCGACACACCTCGGCAAGAAACTTCTTACCCTCGCCCGGCCGATCCACTCGGGGCGGGGTGGACCCACCCGTTTGGCCGCGACGGAACCGCCACCCTCCGATTTCATTGGCTTCTCTCCGTCGATTTCCTTTCCTGATTGACAGCGAAACGAACCAATCATTGCTGGGGCGATGTCCGTCAATCCATCAACCATCGGTCCAGCTGACGGCCCCTACCCCTTTCGCCAAAACGCCGGGCTGTCTCAGCAAACCTTCCAGCTGATTGGATGCTATTCAAAAACAACTGGTTCATCCAGAGAAAATATTTCTTTATTCCCACAAATATTGACGAAATCGTAAATGGAAAAAAAAGCTGCGAATGTCAAAATTTAATATTAAAGAATTGGCAACAAATTTCAACTCGACTCCACTCTGCATGTTCCACTCAATACGACTGAAATGGATTTAATATTTACAAACTCATTACCTTCCATTACAACAGGGCAAAAGCGTTTCAAATAAAAAATTACAATAAGTGCAGTAAAATTTCTCTTTGAATAACATGTTCCACTCTGACCTTTCTCAATCGTGTTGATTGGCTATAACCATTCTGACCGTATCCGTCTATAATCCAACTCTCTCCCACTCGGATGAAACCTGTGATGCTAGTATTATTCCAACCTTCGTAATTGTTAATGAGGAAGATACTAGTTCGACCTGGAGTTAATCACTCATTCATATCAAAAAAAAAAATGCATGGACCATAAACAAATTAGAAATGAACCAAAATAATCTTTGCAAATTACATCAGAAGCTTCTTATTCCTATCAACATCACTGCCAGTGTCAAACTACACATGCAATGATCTGCAATTCTCTGCTTTGTCTATAAACTATTCTATCCCTCTAGCCCAATCCAACATTGAATAAAATCATGGCTGATCTGATTATGGCCTCAACTCCATATTTCAGTAGTGTACATGCCACAACACCCTTCCCCGCACCACCACAACAAGCTCCTAATAACCATATCACTCACTTGTTAGTCAAAAATCTATTCAAACTTTATCTTTCAAATATTCAATAAGTATGCCTCTACTATTTGGGTGGCATAGTGGCTCAATGGTTGGCACTGTTGCCTCACAGCATCAGGGACCTGGGTTTGATTCCACCCTCAGGCAATTGTCTGTGTGGAGTTTGCATGTTCTGCCTGTGTCTGCGTGGGTTTCCTCTGTGCTTCAGTTTCCTCCCACAGTGCAAACATGTGCAGATTAGGTGGAGTGGCTATGCTAAATTGCCCATTGTGTCCAGGGATGTGTAGGCTAAGTAAGTTAGCTATGGGAAATGCAGTGTTATAGGACAGAGGAATGGGTCTGGGTGGGGTGTTCTTTGGAGAGTCTTGCAGCTCACCACTCCACATATCCTGCTAATTATCCTTATAAATCCTTATGAATATCCTATCCATTACCGTTACTCCCTACCTAATGTTGGTTTACATCCAGTCTACATCCTAACCAGGTCAATAACTTATCTTTCAATTCCTTGTGCTTCACCCGACTTGAGAGAGTATCCTCAAATTCCTTCTGGAAAAGCATATCAACAACATTCATTGACACTCCTATGTTCATTACTTTGGACACATTTTCAAGAAATTCAAGCAGGGTCAGCAGGCATGAACTTAAGTTTTGCAATGCTGTGTTACCTCTTTCTGATCATTTGAAAACCAAACGTGTAGATATACCAATCACTTGACTTTTCTTGGCGAAAAGGCAAAACATACCTCAAGAAGGCAGCACAAACATTTAATGCGCAAATTTGGTGCTGTGTTTCTACAGGCTGCGAGCATTTCACAACTTGCTAATATTACGAAACTTGGAGTGAGTTTTAACTCCGAGTGAGGATGATTGCGCACAAACTGAGGACACAAATTGTAGCAGTGAACAGACAGTTGCCATTTCAAGTTCAATGCAAGTCTTAAGTTATACATTTTAGTAGTGATCTTTTGAAATTCGATTTCAACATTGCAGTGGTTGTGTCCCTAGCTCGGGGACAGGAAACGAGGGATCACATCCCACCTACTCCATTTTTGAAGAAGGGTCCCGACCCAAATCGTCAGTTTTCCTGCTCTGTTGCTGCCTGTGTTCCTCCAGCTCCACACTGTGTTATGACAGACTCCAGCATCAGCAGTTCTGAAAATCTCCGCCTACTCCAGAACCATTCAAACCCACCACCAGCACTTAAAAAAAGCGAAAGAACTGCGGATGGTGCAAATCAGAACTGAAGCTCTAAAGAAAGGTCACCGCACCCGAAACGTTAATTCAGACTTCTCTCCACAGACGCTGCCAGACCCGCCGAGTTTTTCCAGCGACTTTTTGTCTTTGTAGCACACGAGCTGTTGGTGGTACCAGCGCCGAAACCGTTGAAATCAAACGAACGGAAGTGACGGCGCGACCACAGTGATTGGCAGCACCTCCTCCAGTCACAACCAGGGGACGACGGGGGCAGGCCAATACGCGCGTGCGAAGGGGGCGGGCTCAGGCGGCCGGGTGACTGACGCCTTTGCCTGCCAATCATCGGACGCGAACGGCGGGGATGGGCGGCAACCTGGAGCAGCACAGAGAGAGGGGTTTCGCCATTTTTTTGTTGTTCGTTTGCTGGCTGAGGGCAACTGTCAAGCTTTTGCGTGGAGGTTCAGGGGGTGGTCATCACTTTATCGCATTTGTTTTTGTTTCTCTTCTCTCAGTACGCTCACCCCATTCTTTTCCCTGGTCGAAGGGTCGTTCCTTTTACGTTGTCTTTTTTTTCGGGGGGGGGGGGGGGGGGTGGGGGGAGGGGGGGAAGGAAACAAAAAAGAGATGGTGAAGATTTTCGTGGGTAATCTACCACGGCCGACGACCGCCGATGAAATCCGGGCCTTATTCGAGAAGTACGGCTCCGTGAGCGAATGCGACCTGATCAAAGTGAGTGAGTGAGTGAGTGAGTAAAGTGTGGGGGTGGGGTCTCGGTCGGTATGGTCACGTGGGTGCAGTTTTGGGGAGGTGGGGTTCAATTCCACCGCTCCTTGTACTCCCCTCCCTTTATATCCCCCCCATTTCCCAACCCCCTCCCCATCATGCTTTCCCTTTCTTACCCAACCACCCCTTCCTCCTCGCCCATTCCGTTCCCCCGCCCCTTCTATCCCCATTGTCCCACCTCTCTCTTATCCCCGCCCCTTATACTCGCCCCCCCCACCCCATTTCCCCTCTTTTACCCCATTAGCTTCCCCTCACCCCACCAACTCTGCCATCTCACAGCAACCCCCTCCTCACCACCTGTTTGCAGACTTCCCAGTTGTTGGGAACATCCATCCTGTGTTTACCCTGTCCTGGTGCTGTCAGAATTTTACAGGTTTTCATAAGATCACCCCGTCGTTCTGCTAAACTCCATTGACCAGGTGCATTCCTGTTTCCCTTCTTACTCCTTCCATAGCCAAAATACCCTATCTCAGATAAGGAGACCAGAACTGCGCACAATATTCCAGGTGTAGTCTTACCAAGGCCTTGTGTAAGGCAGCTCTTTAGCAACAACACTGACATACCCTGTTTCTGACAGGGCCACTCAGCTCCTGACCTCATTGCAGCCTTAATTCAAACATGAACAAAGGAGAATTATACAGGTGAGGTGAGAGTGACAGTCCTTGACTAGAGGGCCATATTTAGCCCATTCTGACATCAAGGATCCCTAGTAAAACTGGAATTGATACAGGGCAGGATAGAGGGGGTCTCCACTACTAGGTGTCATAAGTGGCTTGGACCCAACTATTCACAATATATAAACCGTTTAGATGAAGGAACTAAATGTAAGATCTCCAAGTTTGCAGATGACAGAAGGCTGGGTTGGTGGGTGATGCAGAGATGCTTCAGTATGATTTGGGCAAGTCGAATGAATAGGCAAATGCATGGCATATGAAGTATAAATGGATAAATGTGAGATTATCCACCCAGCTGGGCCAGTGGACCAGGGAGTGGTAGATGGAGTTTAATTTAGATGAATGTAAAATTTTGCTAAGACAAATTAGGGCAGGACTTACACAGTTAATGGTAGGGACCTGGAGAGTTATGTTGAACGGAGAGACATAGGGGCTCACGTACATAGTTCCTTGAAAGTAGTCATCACGGGTAGACAGGGTAGTGAAGAATGCTTGTCTTCGTTGGTCAAAGCATTAAGTAAATGAGTTGGGATGTCATGTTGCAGCTATACAGATGTTTGGTGAGGCCACTTTTGGAGTACTGTGTACAGTTCTGGTCACCCTGCTATGGAAGGATATTATTAAATTTGAAAGGGTGCAGAAAATATTTACAAGGATGTTGCTGGAACTGGAGAGTGAGAGTCATAAGGAGAGGCTGGATAAACAGACTTTTTTCCCTGGAGCATAGGAGGTTGAGGGCTGACCTAATAGAAGTTGATAAAATCATGAGGGACATAGATAAAGTGAACAGCTGGGGTCTTTTCCCTAGGGTAAAACAATTCGAAACAAGAGGGCACAATTTTAAGGTGAGAGGAGAAAGATTTAAAAGGGACTTGATGGGTAACTTCTTCACACATATATCTAATGATCTGCCAATAGGAGTGGCAGATGCAGGTACAGTTACAACATTTAGACAGGTACATGAATAGGAAAGGTTTAAAGAGATATGGGCCAAACACAGGCAACTGCGACGAGTTTAGTTTGGGAAACCTGGTCGGCATGGAAGAGTTGGACCAAAGGGTCTTTTTCCATGCCTTATGACTCTATGACTGATTATTACTGCTGAATAGCAACAATTTGGGAAAGCAGGAGGTGCTATGAGATCTTGGTGTCAAGAAATGCGGCAGGCAGTAAGAAGGCAAATGGTATGTTGGTCTTTAAGTGAGAGGATTGAGTACTGGGGATGTCGTGCTGCAATTCTGCTGGGCCTTGGTGAAACCTACAGCAGGATGATTGTAGTTTGGTCATTTTATCTGAGGAAGGATGTTGTTGTGGTTGCTCTTCCCCAATGAGCCTCGCACAACTAGATTGTGCAATTAGAAATGAATAGTTGGCAGTGCCCAGCTGGTTCCTCAACGTACTTATCCAGAAAATCATCTCGTACAAACTCCAGGGGTTCCTCTTCTACAACATCATTACTGAATTGATTTTCCCCATCTACATGCAGATTAAACTCACCCATAATTACAATTGTATCTTTTTTTCTTGGTCTCTATTTCCTATCTAATGGCTTTTCTAATATTTCCACGACTGTTTGGGGACTGTATACAATCCCCACTATCATTTTCTGCCCATTGATGTTTTTGAGCTCTACCCATACAGATTACACTTCACAAATATCCTTCCTCGCTATTTTCTTAATGTCTTCTTTCACCAGCAATGCCACCCAACTTCGTTTTCCTTTTTGTCTCTTCTTCCTAAAAACTAAATATCTCTAATATTCAGTTCCTATTACTGGTCAACCTGCAGACATAATTCCAATTATATCATACTCATTCATATCAATTTGCGTGATTGATTCATCCATTTGATTGTGAATGTTAAGTGTGTTAAGACACCAGGCCTTAGGCTTGTCTTTTTGGCATTCTTAGTCCCATTTTCTACTGTGGACCTGTTTGATTCTTGCTTTGATTTGTCGTTCTGTCACTTTTTTTTCAATTTTCCATTCCACCTTTTGGTTTTGCCCTTTTTTTCCCCACCCACCCACTCTCATTTTAGTTTAAACCCTCTCCAGCTGCACTAGCGAAAGGCATTGTTGTACTCGCCTTTATTAGCCTAGACATTGAATGCAGGAGCATGGAGGTTATAGTGGAGCTATATGGAACATTTTTTTTGGCCACAGCTGGAGTACTGTGTGGAGTCCTGGTCACCATTCAATAGGAAGGATATGATTGCACTGGACGGGGTGCAGAGGAGATTCATCAGGATGTTGTCAGGGCTGAAGCAATTCTGATATGAAAAGAGACAAGATAAGCAACTCCTGCCTTTCTTAAGAGTAGAGAAGGTTGAGGGGGAATCCAATTGAATTGTGCAGAAGTATGAGGGCATAGATGGGGAGAAACCTTACCCTCAGGGGTGAATACCAGTGGGCACAGTTTTGGGCTAAGGAGAAAGAAGATTTAGAGAGGATTTGAGGAAAACATTTTCATTCTGAAGGTTGATAATATCTGGAACTTATTACCTAAAAGAATGATAAAAGTGAAAACCCTCGACTTTGAAGCAGTATTAAGATGAGCTCTTGAAACATAAAAACGTACAAGGCAACAGAAGTAGTGCTAGAAAATGGGATAAGAATAGATAGTTGCTTAGTGACTGGCATGGATGCATTTGGCCAAAGGGCCTCTTTCAGGCTGTAAAATCTTTGACTTTCTCTCCATTACCCTTAATTTCGATATTGTCAATCTTTTTGACAATACCCTGTTGTTTCCACTGAGCAATCAATTATCATCCAATGTTACCAAATTCATCCCGAGTTTCTACCTGTCTGAGTTTGCTTATTTTGTAATAAAAACAGAAAGTAAGTGCTGAAAAAAGAAATAGGCTTGGCCTATCTGTAGAAAGAGAAATAAGTGTTAACATTTCAAGGCCAGTCAAAGAAGAATTATCAGCCTCTCAATGTTAATTCGATCTCTCTCTCCACAGTGTTGGAGAAACTCAGCAGGCTTGGAGCATCTGTCATAAGAGAAGGAAGAGCTAATGTTTCAAGATGAATCAGAAGAGGAATCATAACACACTTGCAATATTAACTCAGCTTCTCTCTTCACAGATGCTTCCAGACCTCTTGAGGTTTTCCAGAACTATTTTTTTTTAAATTTCGGATCTCCAGTATCTGCAATATCTAAGCACCACGGTGACGTTTTCCAGAGTCCATGGATGGATGAAATTGAGAGCTCTGGTTAGAAAGAACCCATGGACAGGGTGATGAGAATATATTTAAAGCAATGGGTTGGGTGTTGAAAAGTACAATTTTTACTAAGAGTTGTGAGGGCCTGGAACTCACTGTTTGAGATAATGGTTGTAGTAGAAAGCCTTATTGCATTTAATACATGAATTTAATGCATGTGCCATATCCTACAAAGTTACAGATCATGTAATAGAATGGATTAATGTTGGTTAGTCCTTTATCAGCCAGCACAGACAAGTTGATTTGAATGGGACCTTTTGCATTGTAAATTTCTGATTCAATCATTATGTTGTCACTTAATTGCGATTTGAATGGTTTGACAGTACATAAATTTTACTGTGACACACAATGATTTACTTCTGTTTGAAAGGAGGAGATTTAATCAGACTGTCTTAATATTATCAGTATTACGTTACTAATTTCACATCTTCTTCTCCTTGAACAGAATTATGGCTTTGTGCATATGAAGGACCGGGAAGCAGCCAAGGAGGCGATTGAGAACCTCCACCACTACAAGTTGCATGGGGTCTCCATTAACGTGGAGGCCAGCAAAAGTGTGTCCAAGTCCTCGACCAAGCTGCACGTGGGTAATGTTGCAGCTGGCTGCACTAGTCAGGAGTTGCAGGCCAAGTTTGAGGAGTATGGAACCGTCTTAGAATGCGATATCGTTAAGGACTACGCCTTTGTGCACATGGAGAGGAGCGAAGATGCCATGGAGGCCATCAGGGGGCTGGATGGCACAGAATTCAAAGGTGAAATTGCTGGATTGGTGTGGGCCATTTGGGCTTTGAGATGTTCTATTTGAACCTCAGTGGTTGCGCAAGTATTGTCCGTCAGGCCTGTAGATATTGGGGATCTTTAAATAATGAAATTCACTCAGTCACAGTGCATCTTATGCAGTGTCTGAGTTTCCCAAATCTTTGAGCCTTGTGCCTCTCTTGCAATATGTGAACTGGTAAAGGGTTTCTGCATGGGCTGCAATCCTATCTGAAGTCTTGACTGAGGTTCACTGTCTGGAATGCTGCCTCAAAGAGTAATGGTATAATTTCCAGCCATAGTAGATGCTAGGTGATGGCAAGGTGGGTGTATTGCTATTTTCCACACCATAATGCAGGAGAAATAAAACTATAGGCCTGTGAGTTCTGTTAATAATAGCTATGTATTGATGGTTTCTTTATATTTGCTACATGGATTGTCTACTTAACATTTCCATTATATAGTCAATTCTCCCCACCTACTGAACTGCTACTTCGAACTTACAATTTGTACTGGATGGGTGTAGTGTGTATGAGCACTCAGTATTGTGAGATGTTTTATGAACAGCCAGTAGAGTTTAAAACGAGAGAGAAAAAAAAAAATTGTGTAGGGTGTCCTTTGAATCACCAGAATTTAACAGTTAGACAGTTGTCTACATTGGCTACGTTGCAGCCTTTCTAAGGTTGTTAAACTGAGTTCAAAAAGATCTATTCATGTAGATTTCTTGTAAGCAATGGAGACACCATTGTTCCCATTTTATGGGTTGGATATGAGTGTCTGTTTCCTTGGTTAGCTTTTGCTACCAAGTAATTGCCAATTGGGTGCATCTCAGTAAGTTATACTTGATGTTGCCCCTTTCTCCTTTACAAAGGTAGTTTTGTCTCTTTATGTTGTTCATTTTTATCTATCAGTTGGTGAACATTAAAACAAACTGCAACATTTTGATAATATCTGGTAAGTGTCTTGTACTCTTTTCCTTGGGCACTGAATTTCCTGGATAAACATAAAAATAGTTGAAGCTTCTCTCTAAGTTTTGATGACAATTCACTTATCCTCACTTCGGTATGTCTGTTAGTCCAAATGTAACATTATTTATCATAGCATACTCATGAGGTGGAAGCCATTTTAAGATTAAATGTTGTACCAATGAACTTGATCAGAGATCTCTTCTGTTCTTTGACTGTTGTGTGAGACAAAGTTAGATTTTAACTGTGATGAAGCCCCCTCAGTTGATGTCTGACTATATCATACGAACTGGAATTTTTTGTCTCATCAAACTAGGGAATGTTGCTGCTGTGGACTGTTACACATTACATTACATCCCATTAGCAACAAACACTCGTGAGTCAGTCGGGGTCGATTTGATGGGCAGTAAAGCTCCCTCTTCACCGATGGATGGGTATCAAACTCAACTTATATTTGATATGTTGGTCTAATTTTGATGTAAGCTGCTTCCAGCACAAGTTATTTGGGCACTGGGGTAGAAATTACAATGCAATTTTCCAATTTATTTGAGCATAAACCGTGCACAATGTATACCAGTTTCAAGCATGAGGCCCTGCATCAGAGGCATGATTGACAACATATTAGTTACCTTTGCTTTTAGGTGGTTGCTCAAAATGACTATGTGGTCAGTTTAAAATATCCAAAACTCCGTGTGCTTGTTTAAGGACCATCCTGTGAGACACATGGAAAACAAGGTGCAGCACATGCTGGTGTAAGTTACAAGTAGATTTTCTATAATTGTACATTAGCCTTTAAGTCTCAAAACCAGTGAAGAGGTGACAGCAATTTTGCTTTTTCTTTATAAACTCCCTTGCCCCTTTTGGAGTGTGCAGCAAAGAACTGTTGCATAGCATTGACTTTAGCCTCCAGTTGGACCCTGTACTTCTTCCTAATGTATTGAAAGGGTGTAGAAAAGACTTACAAGGATGTTGCCAGGATTGGAGGGTTTGAGCAGTAGGGGAGGCTGAATAGGCTGGGGCTGTTTTCCCTGGAGCGTTAGAGGCTGAGGTGTGACCTTATAGAGGTTTATTGGAGCTTGCAATGTAATATCAGAAGTTGTGCTGTCTGTGTTACTGAGAACAATCAGTCTCTCACTCTCTCTCCATCCTCACCCACCCCCCAATCCGGCAAACCCCACCACTACCTTCCTTGTTCCTCATTTGCCCAGTAGTGGAAGCAATATTTTCTTATTTATGCCCAGGTGTCACTCGTACTATTATTTCTGATTCTATCTAAGCTCATTAGGATGTTGCTGCTGCTTTTGGTCCTGCAGGAAATTCTGGGTCCCACCAGTACCCTTTTGCTCTCTGCAGCATCATTGTCTCGTTTCCTCCCTTTCTGGAGCCCACATTGCTCAATCTGCATTTTCTCAAGTCCCCTCATGACCCTTATTTGCCATTCTATTTTTCTTCCCTGCCATGAGACAGGAATGTTGGCTTGGCGGAAGAAGGTGGTGCGCTGCAAATTTTAGCTCAGTTCTCTCAGTTGTTTAGAAACAGCACCTTGGAATCTTCGCAAGTATTCATATGCTACTGCCTGTTAAAATTGCTCATGTAGAGCTTGCCACTTCAGTGCAGTGCATGTTGCACACAAAGTGAACGATTCTACTGAACCCCAGATTCAGAAGTGCATTCAATATTGCACCAATTCAACACCTTCTACAGGCCATGCAAAACCTTATGTGGCTTCTCTGAGGGAGTTGTTTCAATGCTTGTGTTAAGCACTAGATTAAGGCTGACTAGACAAAATAATCAAACAAAACTAGCTTGGAACTCTGTTCCATTGACCTGTAATCGAATGGTAAGATTGAAGATTAAGCAACTCCTGTCCATGGTAAAGTGACAGTTGAATGAAAGCAGGAAATTCATTTTTCACAAGTAACTATTACCAGGTTTTAAATCATGGGGTGTAGTGGACGGTGAAGAAGGCTGTCTGAGAGTTTGACAGTACCTTCATCAGATGGCCAATGGGCCAATGAGTTGCAGATGGAGTTTAATTTAGATAAACATAAGATATTACTTTTTGGTCAGGCAAATCAGGACATTTATACACTTAATTGTAGGGTCCTGGGAGTGTTGCCAAACAGACACCTTGGGATGCAGGCTCATAGTTCCTTGAAGGTGAAGTCACAGGTAGACTGGGTAGTGAAAAAGGCTTTTGGTGCGCTTGCCTTTATTATGTCAGTGCATTGAGTACAGGAGTTTGGGGTGTCTTGTTTTGGCTGTACAGGGAATTGAATAGGCCATTTTTGGGATACTCCATTCACTTCTGGTCTCCCTGCTATGGGAAAGATGTTGTTAAACTTGAAAGGGTGTAGAAAAGACTTACAAGGATGTTGCCAGGATTGGAGGATTTGAGCTGTAGGGGAGGCTGAATAGGCTGCGGCTATTTTCCCTGGAGCGTTAGAGGCTGAGGTGTGACCTTATAGAGGTTTATAAAATCATAAGGGATGAATAGGGTGAATGGCCCATGTCTTTTTTTCCCAGGGCATGGGAGTCCAAAACTAGAGGGAATAGTTTAAGGTGGCAGGGGAAAGATATAAAAGAGACCCAAGGGGCAACTTATTCATGCCAAGGGTGTTGTGTATGGAATTAGCTGCCAGAGCAACTGGTGGAGGCTGGTACAATTACAATATTTAAAAGGCACCTGGGTGGGTATATGAATAGAAGGGCTTTGAGGGATATGGGCCAAATGCTGTCAATTAAGATCGGCATGGACAAGTTGGACCAAAGGTCTGTATCCATGCTGTACAACTCTATGATTCTGACCCTTGAATCCCTTCACCAATAAATCTCGAGTATTATCCTTCAAGGAACTGTTTTCATGTCACTGCACTTCTTGTGATACTTTAGCTGTGTTTCATGATTTCAGTGGCTGCTTATGTTGTCGTTGTTCAAAAGATGATCTTGGTTCTCTTAACATTTTTTTAAAATCTGCAAATGTGTTTTGAAAAATCTTTTTAATGCAGATAATGTTTAATTTCTACTACATGCGAACAGTGATTTTGTTTTGTGTGCATCATCTTGTCAACTTCATGTCCTGAGGCAATTGAATTAGAGTCTAGAATTATGTTGCTTTACGTGAAAAGTATCAGTCAAGAGTGGCTGGAGTTATGTCCACTCCTGTTTTATTAAATATATATTTGATCTAAGTTCTCCCAGGTTGGAGATATTCCTAATGACTTGGTGAAAATCAGTTTCTTTACCTTGACAAAGGGATAATTTGGAGATGTGTCTAAGTGCAATTGGACAGGGAGTTCAGTGCCCAAAATGGTCTTTGTGTTATTGTATTATTGTCATGATGCAACATTAACCTTGCATTTATCTGACTCCTTCTGGGACTCCCAAAGTATGCTTTTTTCAAAATTCATTCACAGGATGAGGGTGTCGCTGGCATTTATTGCCCATCCTTAAATTCCCAGAGGGCAGTTAAGAGTCAACCACATTGCTTTGGGCCTGGAGTCACATGTAGGCCAGACCAGGTAAGGATGGCAGTTTCCTTCCCTAAAAAGCATTAGTGAACCAGATGGGTTTTTCTGACAATTGATAATGGATACATGGTCATCATAGAGTCTTAATTCCAGACTTTTATTGAATTCAAAGTACACCACCTACTGTGGCAGGTTTCAAACCCGGGACCCCAGAACATTACCTGGGTATCTGGGTTAACAGTCTAGTGATAATACTAGAAGGCCATAGCCTCCCCTACCTGCAACCAATTAAGTTGTTTGGTGTGTCGGCAGTGTTACAGTGTAGGCACTGCTTCAACCAATTTGTGCATGCTGAACTCCATGACTTCACTAGGGTTAGTAACTACAAAACTGTTAAGTGAATTTTGACTGAGGGGCATGTGTTTATCAGGATGTCAGGGAGAATTCTGCTCTTCTGTGAATGTTGTCATGGGATCTTGCATTCCCATTTGAGACCGGAACCTGGGCCTCCATTTAGCATCTTATCCGAAAGTTTGCATCTTCAGCTGTGTAATGCTCCTT